CGTGCGGGTTGGACACGCAGCCGGAATGGGTTATCTTCAATGAATTTGTCTTGACTACGAAGCCGTACATCCGTACTGTGACGGATGTCCGCCCAGAGTGGTATGTTGACTCCACGCTGTCTCTATTCTCCCGTGACGTTCGTTGATATTTTTGGTGCAGGCTTTTGGAAATGGCGTCAACATATTTCGACTTGGGCGCTTTTCCAGACGGCGAGACGAAGCGCGCTCTGACACGGGCACAAGCGAAGCGCAAGAGAGGCTCAGAAGAGGCTGTCTCCAATGGGAAAAGCTCCCGTAAAGGCAAAAAGAAGAATGACAATAAGAACACGAGCAATAGGTACAAAGCGGGAGCAACATGAATTCACTGTAATACACCAAGAGACACTCGGCGGTCTCCTCGAACAACTCAGCCTTACACGATTGTTACACGAATGATGTCAAGACATATGCGTCCAGAAGCCTTTCTTTCCTTGTAGACTGTTGGCACATAGCCATTTACACTTGCGATTGGGCTGATAATACTGTCGTTCTAGAGCGACACATCTGTTCCCAGAATAAGAGCCCCAAGGTAGTGTGCGTGTGGAAGTGGTGGAATCTCAACATAGTTGCTCCAAACTGATTGGCATGAACACAAAGCTTGTCATTAGAGGAGTGTAATGGATTTCGTCGTTCAGGGATGAATTGTATACAGGCTGTCAAGTTCACCGAAAGTGGAAACCTGGGGAAGAACCAGCCGTCACAAGCACGTGCTGACACGACGCGAGCTGTCACACCATCACTATTGCATTCTTCAGGGATTCAAATAATTGTATGGCCGCGTCTGCAGCTGGACACGGTTCTGACGGCACTGAACAATGTCAGACGTTGAGCTCCGGCGTATGTGTTGTGCGGAACTCAAACTTCTTCAGGCGCATTTAATCATCAATGATCACTATATATTGATATATCTCACGAGCACACTTCCAGAACAGGAGCGTGTTTGATTCCACAGGGGTAAGCGGCCCGATGTTATTCAACTTTCAGAATCTATGAATTGTTTGCCGTAGGAGTTCTTAGTCAGACCCCGCGAGGTGTTCGTGGATATATTTTGGATATATGTGATATTCTCCGTATAAATTCGCAGAGGTAGTGCGCCATATTACGTACCTGGGTGGAGGTTTGTATGCTGGGAATATGCATTGGTCTTGTGCCGCACCATGGGACCTTGAGAATTAGTGGCATGCCTCACGGAACTAAGGCGAAGATTGTGAAGTAAAGCGAAGAGCAGGCACCTCGCCAGGTACGACCATTATATATCTTGAATTGCAGGATCCGCAAATAGCCACTTTCACAGGTATGATGACGAGCCTTGAACTGTATTCATAAAGTGAACCCGACGGACGTCCACGTATTGGACGAAACTGTAACGCGAATCGCGCTCAATTTGGACCCTATATGATTACTGTTCAAGTCGTAAGTATGCACGCCGCCAGCGTGTCAAGGCATTTTACGCAATGGCAACGATTTGTGCACGTCGGAGCTTGGTGCTTAGCGGGTATGCATAGGAGCGTGGGAGGGCGATAGCGAAATGAGCGCGGGGGGGGGCTTCCGTGGTAGCGAAGACGAT